TATTAGGATTTGATTAGGATTTAAAATTTCATTAGAGTTTGATTTAGAATTCAATTAAGATTTAGAATTTTATGAAAATTTGACCTAAAATTTGATTATGATTTTTTAAGGTTTCAATTAGAATTTTATTAAGATTTTATCTAAGATTTGATTAAATTTTATTAAGATTTTAATAAGGATTTAATAATAATTTTATTAATATTAATATTAATTTTAATTAAGATTAAATTAGGATTAAATTAATATTTGATTAAAATTTAATTAAGATTTATTTATTATTCATTTTTATTTTTTGTTTTTAGAATTTTTATAGGACTTTATTTTATTTTATTAAAAAAATATTTCTAATATTTTTTTAAGATTATTTTTTTAGGTTTTATTTTTATATTTATTTGGAGATTTTTTATTATTTTTTTTTGAAATTAATTTATTATTTCTTTGTAATTTTGTGTAGTTTTTTTAATTTTTTTGGATTGACTAAAGTTTGATTAAGATTGTTAAAGATTACTTAAAGTTTATTTAAGATTCTATTAGATTTTATAGGATTTATTGTTGCATTTTTACTTAGCTTCTACAAATAGGTGTCTTATGCATTTTCAAGTAAGAATATATGTAATACAACAACATGTCTCATTTTGAACCATATAAGACAATGAATATATTGGAAAAAAGACAAATGCCACATCTTCCAATAAAAATGGATAATAATTAAAAATTTGAAGTAAAAGAAGTCTTAGACTCAAGGTAGCACCAAAATAGGTTGGAATATCTTGTTCATTGGTATGGATATGATATTAGTAAATACAAATAGAAGCCTATCAAGAATCTTGGAAATGTGACAAAAAAGTTGAAGGTTTTCATCAATGACATCCATCAATACAAAGTTAAAGTATAGAAAATTTTTGGTATAAAAAAAATGTGGTTAAGGAAAGATTATATTCTACCTTCAATCTTTATTTGTAATTTTTGTATATTTGTGGCGTAAAAGAAATGGAGAATCAACAACTAATAGATTCAACTCAAGAGCTATTATTTGTTGACTTATTGCACTAGACATTGTAATTGTTACAACCTTCAAGACAACATAATTAAAATAAAGATCCTCAAAAATGACATGTTCTTCTTTAAATAAATGGTAAGATATAATACATTTGGTATCATGACTTTGAAAGAAATTCTTCATGGTTGGTAATTTTATAAGTGATAGGAAGGATTCTTGATGGTATTACAAATGTTTTATTTGAAGGAAGTTACAAAAGCCTCATTAATGATCAAATAACAAGGTGGTCTTTCTGCTATAAAATGGAACATTATTGATAGCTATAACGATCTATCAATTATCTTTGAAGGAAACAAAGATCAAAATATGTAACAAATATTATTTGTTATATCTTGAACTTCATCAATATATAATCACTGCTCTTCATAAAACTCAATCTTAGAAAGGAAGAGGTAATGTCATGGATATACACATTTATTTCAATAATTATATAGTTAATATTAACAGGTAGAAGTAAATTAAAATAGATGAATTTGATAATATCTTATTAAGTCGCTTCCTTAAAGCTTCATAGATACGGCTTTGACTTCACATGTCTTTGATAGATTAGAAACTTGGCCAACAAGTTAACTATGTTTGAAAAATATATTTATTAATTGGAGATATATAAAAAATTATTAAAAAAATCATAGCATTAGAAGTAGTATATTCTTATTTACAACTTAATCAAATATATATATATATATATATATATATATATATGTGTGTGTGTATATTACATTAAATATTATTTTATATTATATTTATTTTAATAAGGTAGATGTTTCCAAAAAGTTAATTTTTAGAATATTGTTTATACTACTACATACACATTTTTTTAAAACAGAAATATGTATCTCAAATTTTGATTTTAACTTAATAATCTCATAAATTTTTACATGTTAGTTTTTGGTTTATTTTTAAAAGCTATTTTTTTTGTTATACAATTTACATTTTGAAATAATATACTTCTTTAACTGTTTGTATTAGTTGTATGTTTGTTATTCTAGATTAGTTTTGGGAACTACTAAGCAGATACCCCTCTTTTACTGCACAAATACCCTCCCTGCTATGCATCCTTCCATACACAAAGTAGACATCTTATTTGCAATAAAAATAATCAGAATAAATTTAAAACAGAAGATTTGTGTGCAATGGCTTTTGTCATATGTTTTTTATTTCTGGTTTAAAATAAAACAAATTTCATATGTCTATTTCATTCAGTTTAGAAAGCTTAATAATTCTCTTTTTAAAAAAATATTTTAAATTTATCGTAAATTATTTTTGTATGAATAAGAGTTTTACTTAATGTATGCAATGATCTGTAGCACATGGAGTGCCCACATAGTAAAATGGTGGTGTCCATCTAGTGATCCCCTTATTTTTTTACTTTTTTAATTTTTATCTTAATTTTATAAGTATTGTCATTATGCTAAAAAAAATTTTAGATAGTATTTGTCTTAATAAGACAAAATAGAAAGAGTTGTATATATTTTTAAAGTCAAATGAAGGTTAAACCTTCTAACTAATTGAGAATTAATTTAGCTTCATGAAAGAAATGAAAACAAAAGAAGAAGAAAAAATAATAATAATCTCATTTCTAAAACATAATAATTTTGAGCCATGATATGAATCACCTTTTGTAAAACATCATATGCAAGAAAGAAAAAGATAAATCAATAGTATTCCCTTTGTGATTGTTTATTATTTAATTACTTAGTGTGTTGATACTATTATTATTATTTTTTTTAATCTCAAGAGCCAGAAAGGCATAGAGAAAAAAAAATATAAGAAGAGAGAAGCAGGGCTTGGACTACTAGCAACAACAATTCCTTTCACAATTCCCCTCACACCAAATACCAGAAGATTCCACACTCTCTCATGACAATTCTAACTCCATCCATCCACACATTCATCCACAAGTGGAAATACATTCATCATCCACACATCCATCCACCTACAACACCATTTTAAGGCAAAGGTAGAAAGGAAAAGAGTCTAGAGTCTGTGTCAGTCTTTTCCAAACACTGCAGTCAAAGCACTCTCCACAAGCATTGGAAAAAAGAAGCTTTCTTCTGCCTAGCTTCCATTCATCTCCTTATGCTTTAGGAATAGTGTGTGCACCTGCATCATTGCACTTGGAAAGATAATACATAAAGAGAGAAATATAAAAAAAAAAAAAAAAAAAACAAAAAACAAACAAAAAAGAATGAAATAGACATGCCCCCCTGCCCCAGTTTCGATGCTTTGGTGGTGGTGGAACCCAACTCCAGCACACCATCAAAAAGCATGGTTTACCCACACCAAGGAATGATAAAAACAAAATGGGAATAAGTGTGCATGTCTGCAGGAGAATGGGTGATGGATTGCAACCCACCTTTATTTTTATCAAAAAAGTGGTGTTTGTGTAAGTATCTTTGAGGTTGGATATGAAAGTACCACGTGCATGTTTCATTGAGGAGGAGCATTCCAATTGTGAGAATGTTATGATGGGGTATTGCCATCTGTTGTGTTGTGATATTCATTTTTAATTGTTTAAGTGTTTTTTGATTTAGTTCATTGAATTTATATCTTTTCTTTTTCTTATTATCCAAAACACACTTGTGTAGAGTGGATTTTTTGGTGCTCGTTTAGTGTTGTAAATAATTTCTAGACACACTCTAAATCATTTTTTTCCCCCTGTTCATTCTCTTCATCTCCTTCTGTGCTGGGAAGAGCAAATTCCACCAGCTTTAAAGGTAAAAGCTTGCACTATCATAAAGGTACTCTCAAAGAAAAGCATGAGGTAGCTCTTTCCTAATTATTGACCTCAGTATTAGATCAGGCTAAATTTTGAACATCATTAAGAAACTCCACCATTAGAAGAGTAAGAATAAACGAATGAATGGACGAAAGTTAATGTTTTTTTTTGTATTAAGGAAATGTTCACAACGCATGATTACACAACATTAAAAAAACGAAAGAAGAAAGTAAAAGTCTCAGGGTAATTAATGGACGCCATTTAGAATCTTGCCCGATGTTGTGATTCAGCATTTGAACCTCCCCAAGCTAAAAATAAAACCCAACACACTTTGGTACTTTCCATACTTGAAATCCACGTAGACAGCCACTGACAACAACGCCATGTGGGCAGAGACTCTAATCAGGAGCCTATGATCGGGGAATTCAAATCAGGGATTGCTAAGTGCCACGCTGGCAACTGAGGGGGGTACCAAAAATCAAAATTATCACGCGGTTTGAACACAACAGGGGAGTTTTGCCCTCCCTCCCCTGCCTCGGTTGGAGCTCCGCCTTCAATGGGTGGGGGGCATGTGAAGGGGGAGAATGTGAGGATACGTCTAAAGGGGGGAAAAAAAATTTATAATTTCTGAAATTCCGGTGCACGACCTCCCTTCTTTTTCCGGGAGCAGGTTGTGCTGGCTTCATTAAATGAATAGAAGGGCTTCCTGTTTGACTAACAGCCACAAACAATATTCCTCCACCAACCACAGTCTTTCAAAGTGTGTATTTCTGTTGTTGTGGTCATGGTTATTGTTACTATTACTACCACTACGGAAACGAAGATGGAGTTCATAGAAAGATGACCCTTCAGTACAATAAGTATTTTTTTAAAGTATTTTATTCAGTCGTGGTTTAGTTGCTCATTGATTTATGTCTCGAAAGCACACTACTTTCCGCTCTCTATTTTAGAATTTTAATTCCAATGTAAGAGATATGTTCCGCGTCCAGTTACAGAAGCAAGGTCCATATTCAAGCCCACACTTGGGAAGCTTCCAGGCGGATCATATAACTTCCGACTTCAAATCCCGCGACAGATCTAAATTGTCGAACGGAGTGAATCATCTAAGCATCGGGGGCAGCCCAGCAAGAGAAAAAAAGTAGCGGAAAAGCAAAGGAAAAGACAAATAGGAGCAAAAGCTAAACAGAAAATTAAAGGTGTCACCATCATCGTCGGCTCTCTCGGTTCACATTTCACCACCGTCGAGGGCAGCGATGGCCACCTCCTCTCCCTCTTGTTCCCCCGCACAGCTTCACAGATGCTCGACGCCTGCATTGCTTCGCATCATTGCAACCTTTTTTTCCCCCCACTAAGAGCGGTGCCCTGCCGCGTTCCCCCCATCCTCAGTGCTCTCTCTTGCAGGCTGGCTGGTTTAGTTTCACTATATCTCATTCATGCGGTGAGAAGGTAGACCTCTGGGTGTCTGCGGCTCCGACACGTTACTCTGAATAGTTTTGTCGCGTGCGTGTGCTTGGATCCCACTCTTTAGTGACCTCGCTCAGTGGTTTACTCCGTGATCGTGTCTGTATACTTCGGTCGTCTGTGTGGAGTGGTCTGTTCGACAGATTCGGCGTTTCTTTGACGTTTTGTTGTCGGTGCGTTTTTGTGAGAATAAGGGTCAGTGGTGTGTCAAGAGGCAGCTTGTGGTCAGAACAGCAGGAAGCGTGGGTTAGATTGGTGGAATTTAGCTTAGAGGCGAGGAACGGGGACAAGGCTTCGTGAGCCGCGCTTGAGGGATCATGTGTGACACAGTGTTAACCGCTTGAGGAGAATTTGGTGATATGAATGGTGTACGAGCAGTTGTTTTAGATTTCAGTATCGTGGAGGTAGTGTGCGTGTGTTCTTTGTTGTAGTTGTTTTCCCGTAGAGGTGATCGACGGCCAAGGGGCAGAGAGCTGTAACGGGGAACCACAGAAGGCACAAGTGGTATCAGTGGTTTCGTTTTGCGCTAATTGGCAGGTGACTCTTGGGTTCTGGTTTTCTGTATTATTGGTGAATGTTGTGGAATCGCTACCGTTCCTAGGTGAACACACTTCAAAGATTTGACGTTCTGTTGTACTGTGGGGCTTATGTTCAGAAGCTGTATGCCATTTCATTTGTTTCAAGCAATTCCATAGATCGCATTCGCTTTCACCGGAGAGCGGGCAGTTTTCATTTATCCTGTGCACTTTACTGTACTTCACGCAGCCCATGTTTGATATCTCGGTGCAGCAGCTTTCACCTGTTCTGACTTAGGACCATCCGCGAAAGTTGGACTGTGATTGGCGACAGTATCGTTCACATTTGGATTCTCTTCGGGTACAGGCTTCAACCCCTCCTTGTTTCGCAAAATCCATCTCTTCAGTTCTTGGCTACAGGTTTGAAAGGAAGTATTCGTATATTTCCACAAGACTTTCCATAGAGGCCAAGACATTCTTAGCTGTACCACACCAAGAGGTGACCATGATTATAGTCTCTCATCTGGTCGTTCTTTCCTTCGTTAAGCGCCTCGAATCTGAAAGAGATAACTAGCTTCAGTAACATGACTGGGAGGATAGCGATAAGAGATCCTTCTGTGATATTTTCGTGTTACTGAAATATCTTCTATTTGAAAAAGTAAGGAAGTAAGTGCGTCAATTTTGAAGATGCTGCCAAGTGAAGGATTCCATGCTGGTTCGCGAGAAAACGTTTTTTAAATAGTGAGCTTCAAGTAACGGTCGGGAGCTACTCCACAAACGACTTGGAATTTGACATTCCTTAAGCCCCTGAGCGTGGTTTTAATGATTCAGGTTCAGGTACACATTTTGCGTATTTCTGTCTTGATACTGACGTCCTGATTTTACTTAGAGTTCTGGTATAGTAGCTTGAAACTTGCGATATATTATCGTATTCTCTATGCTGTTGATTCGTTCTTGAGTCAATTTCTGTGATGATAGCATTGTACACTTCAGTAGGTCTTCTTATTTATCATCAGTGGTAATACAGTTTTTGATGCAACACATACGCACTTTTGCTGTGCTTTTCCATCGTACAGACGTTGATTGTGGTTTCTTGTTACTTCAATCACATGGTGAAACAAAAGTGAATTCATCCTACTCATCATTGTTGATTCTTAACTTACGAGATTCTGTCATTTTCCCGTGGCGTGCAGGTGCAAATTTCACACGTATAATTTGGGGTCTTAATAACTAACTCAATGCAAGGCAGTCTATCAGAGGTAGGTCGTAGGGATTTGGACGGGAATTAGCTTATCTATGATGTTTTAGAAATGTGGTAACCACTGGCTGTGGTTAAGTTGGAGATGTTTAAGGCCATCCTTCAGCTGTCGTACAGAATCAGAAGAGTTGATTTGCTAGTGTCGAGAAAGAGGTTGGTGATTTTGAAAATAAAAGAGCATGTGCAAGCTCAATGCTCAATCTCTCGACAGAGGTGGCTGTTATTCTCATTAATATTTGATGCTGCGATGAGCATTGTTGTATTGCATACTGAGTACAAGATTGTCACGTGCATGGCTGATTATGAACAGGGTTGATTACTTTGAAGGGTTTCATTCTCTTCATGATTCACGTGGATTTTTTGTGAGACATGTAGATTAGTAAAGTGTTTCTTAGCCCCCTAAACACGTTGCGGTCATTGCAGCTCTGGCCTCGGAAACTACTTAAGAAATGGCTCAGCTTTCAAGAGACCGGAGATGACTTTGATCGAGACAGTGACTCGAGTGGCGGGGAGTGCAGCGAGTCGGAAGACTTTGAAGATAGTGATAGTAAGAGCATATTAATTGCCACGCGTCCTCTCTTGGTCGCTAGTCTCTGAATGGTGTATTGTAACATCTCTTATTTATTTATTTATTTATATTTTTTTTCCTTTTATTTCTTTCTTTCTTACACTGCTGTCAACATTCTGTCTCTGCTTTAGAGAGTTCAATCTTAGCCTTAACTTGGTGGAGCTTGAAAGAATCGATACTCGAAGAATTTAAGGCTCTTGAGCATGTTATGCGGTTGGAGGCCTAGTTGTCACTTTGTTTTGAGTAGTTTATGCTTTGATTTTAGTATAAAATCATAGTTTAGCTTGTCGGAGTAAGAGTACTTTAACACACTTTACTGTGCAAGAAGTGCGTGCAATTACACCACGTCCAGCTAAGCCTATATTGGACATTATCAGGCGTAGAAGAGTCTGGTGATGAGGATGGAAGGGTACTGACTTAATCGGATCCTGATGCAGATGCCATGCTAAATAGGGGTCGTATTCAGTGTCACGATTCTTTTTATAGTTTGATGATTGTGTGCTCGATTTACAAGTTGCAATTTGATTCGTTAAGCTAGCAAGGTTTATAGTGTCTCTGGAAGTTGGTATTGCGGCTTCTCCCAACATTCCCGACCTGACGAAATGGCTTATTGCTGTGCATTACAGCCTTCAAATGCAAAAAACAGCTTATGCGAGTGCAGTCTGATATTCTCCGCGAGCAATTTGTTCAAAACGATGAATACAAGTAAGCTCTTTTTCTAAATTTTCAAATTTGGATCTTTTGAAGGCCTAAACGCTTGATTGTTCTTTTGTGATCCATTGGAGTCCAATACATGGACATATAATTAGATACTATACGCTTGATTGCTCTTTTGTGGAATGGAGCAGGGTTGCAGTTGGAACTTGGAATGTTGGAGGGTTACTTCCTCCAGATGATATTGACTTAACTGAATTCTTAGATACGTCTGATCCTGCAGACATCTATGTACTTGGGTGAGTACTCGTTACCTTGCTTGAGGTGTTTAAGTGGGTGCATCTCTCATTGATATACAGAAGCAATTGCTCCAAGTTAAGGTATTGATGTTGAGCATAATTGTGTGGGATCATATCGATTGTATCTTAAAATAATATTGCATTGTTTGGAATCATGGCGGTGAATTATAGTTAGTATAACTTGGTACTCATTATTTTAGGTTGAGGGGTTTTCAGGTTTCAGGAGATTGTACCACTTAATATCAACAATGTGTTGTGCGTTGAAAACGATGCACCGACTGTCGTATGGGATGGTTTAATTCGTCGGGCTTTGAACAACACAATGAAGTGTTGTAAGAAGTGTCTGAGAAGTCACAGCGTGCCACCATCTTCAATGTGGCATGAAAAGGAAGTCGCTAATCAAGATCTTGAAGACTCTGATAGTCTTGGGCTCAGGAATGTAGTTGCCACTGAAGAAACTCTGGAAACATCATTGCTTCTTCAGAAATTTCCAAACTCAAGCGATTTCTATCCGTCAAAAGACAAAACAGAAGCGAGGAAATCGGATCATACTTTGAAGTCTTTTACCAAGAATGTGAAATTACCGGAGGATTGGTTATGTGAAGTTACCACACCTGATAATGGTGCTACTGAGCAAACTTCACTGGAGAAATATTCTCAAGTTCTCAGAAAACATTCCTGTGATCAATATTTTAGAGTAGCAAGCAAGCAGATGGTGGGAGTTTTCATATCTGTGTGGGTGCGTTCAGATCTTCGGCGATATGTCCACAACGTCAAAGTTAGCGTTGTTGGCTGTGGAATTTTGAATTTCCTCAGGAACAAGGTATAGCTTGATCCAATTTTTTGATTTGTGGGATTCCAAGCGGAAAAACTCGCGTGCACTCTGATCACGATCATATTATGAACTTATGATCTTCGTATGAACGGAAAAAGTAGCTGCATGGAAGTTATTCTCGTTTTTATGTCAATGCTCTCCAGTGTTTTGATAAATAGTGACTGCATGCAGGGTGCAGTTTCTGTTAGCATGTCTCTCCACCAAACCAGCTTCTGTTTTGTGTGTACACATTTGACATCTGGTCTCAAAGAGGGTGACGAGTTTCGTCGAAATGCTGATGTTGCTGATGTTCTTCGTCGAACAGCATTTCCTAGATTGGTCAAACTTTCGGGGATACAGCTGCCAGAAACAATCATGGCACACGAGTAAGTATCACCTCACCTTTACATCGGCTTCTATTATTGTTCCTTCTAGCGTTGCAGGGCCTTCATGTAAGGCAGAGAATAATATATGTATGAATGGTTTTCCTTGTTCAAGTCTTTATGTTATATTACTTAGCCTTGTGGTTTAGTTACGAGTGCCTAAGACGTACATTGCAGTCGGTAGTGATGCCACTTTTGAAGATACGTTGGACCTACGGAATAATCGAAACCAATCCTTCTGTTTGTTTGCTGTCGACAAAATGATCTGCAGTCGTATCATATGGCTGGGTGACCTGAATTATCGAATTGATTTACCGGATAAGGAGACATGGATCCTAGTCAACCAGTGTGACTGGAAGAGTCTTCTTCCCAGAGATCAGGTATTAATCACGGAGTTTCAGGCCAATTTCCACATAAGAGAAACTAAAGTGGATACTTATCAGTAATCAGAATGAAATGCTACAGTCAGAATGAAAAATACGGGCTTTATCGGTAAGCGCTATATGTAGCTTGTTGTAGATTGCACTTCGAGGTCAATTTTATTCACACGCAACTTACTAGCTGTCATCTGAACAGCTGAGAATGGAGAGAGATGCTGGTCGGGTTTTTAAGGGCTGGCACGAGGATGCTATCAGTTTTCCACCAACATACAAGTTTGTGGAGGAATCTGATCAATACTTTGGTGAATATACGTTTAAAGGAGATAGGCGACGCACTCCTGCATGGTAAAGGCAATCTCTTTTGCTCAGAGGATCTCAGCAATTTTTCTTTAGTAAAATTCAGAGGTCTCCAATCTTTACGGCCATTATCATCGTGGTGCATTTGTTAACGTGTGATCTTTAAAGCCATAGCCTTCCTTAATGGCTTGAGCTGGAGGTTTTATTAACATTGACAGTTCTATTACTCAGCTGTAACGTAAAAGCATCACCTGCAGGTGTGATCGAATACTTTCCCATGGAAAGGGATTGAGACAGTTGAGTTACTCCATGGTGCAAGCAAGGCTTTCAGACCATCGACCTGTTGTTGCAAAGTTTATTGCTGAGGTGGAAGCAGTGAACAGCCGTAATTTCAAAAAAGCTTTCAAGCTACCAATTAGTAAAGTGAATGTTGAGGAGTATTTGCCGAAGGCTTTTTCTGTCTGCAAGTTTTGCAGCTTGCACAACCATGAGGTATTATGATAGGTTATTTTCCTACCTTCTATTGAGTGGTTAGAAAGATTGATGACTTCTAAACTAAGAGACTAGTTAAGGCAGTGTTCTAGAAAATCCTCTCTTCTACCCTTCTGGCTAGTACCTGGGAATCGATTAACTGAGTGCCGTGACCGAGTTCATTCTTCTTTGGAGCTTACAGATAGTTTTGTGTGATTAATAGATAGTGGAGTTCATATGATTACCGATGTCACCCTCAGAATATCTCAGCCTTGTGGGCCAGAAGTTCGTCGATGGCTGAATCCATAACGACCAATTTGTCGGTGAGCCTTACATCAACCACTTCAGTCGTTGCCAATTGGCATCGATTGACCCTCAATGTGACATTCAAAGTTTCACAGCCATGATGTGAAATCATCCGGATATACAACATTTAACCTAACGATTTGTCTTAGGTGATTAGGGTCCATAAATAAACCCACTAAATCACTAAATGCATGTGTGAGGCCAATACTTCATAAATAAGAATCTGAAATTTAGGTTCTAAATCCTGACTCGAGTGCAGCTCATTGAACGCTCAGTAAAAAGCTGTTGAAGGGCGTGCCGGATTCCCACAGACGGCCTACGGTGGAACATCAAGCTACTGAAGTAAATTCAGAGTTGTAGGAGAATGTGGCTGGATCATCAAGCAAGCATCTAATGGATGTAAATCGTTATTTAAGGTATGCATGACTCAATGAGGTAGTTACTGGCAAGGATATGCTACTTCTATCGCGATGTTTTTGTGTGCTCACATACTGGCGAGTTGGGATTTCCAAACGATTTATTGACAATGAAGGCGTGATGTTGATACTATTGTTTTCTGGATGCAGGGTACTATGTTGGGATTTAAGGCTTTCCTCTAACTTCTCGTAACAACATTTTACGAGATTTAGTGATGCAGTACATTGTAATCATAATAATTCCTGTGTGGATTACTAATCATAGTAGCTCATGTCGGTTCTCTAGTAGTAGTATCTATCTAGACTCATGTTGCTAGTATATCTTTACACTATCTGGTTCGGTACAGTATAGTTATGATGTAGGTTACTTACCTGAGTGTCAAAAGGAGAGATGTCCGGTAGTACATGTTTTACCTGAGCTTACTCTAGCTAGCTAAGCAGGGTAAGCAAAACTTATTGTTTCTATCAGAAGAGCTCGCCGAAACGAAATTTTCAGCTCTGTTCAAGCCCTTTGGGATTATTTGAGAGCTAGATCACGTCATTTTAAAGTATCGTACCTCCAATCAAGAGGATTTATTAATTGAATAGTTTATGGAATTACAAGACCATCAGTGTCTTCGTTGATAATACTATCTTTCCTTGCATTGCAATTATCACTCATCACTGTGTTCAGTGTGCCTGTAGGGCATTTACGCTGTGGACGTTATTGGAACTGAGTTAGATAGGTTCAACTTGTCAGTGTTGCATTGTTAAGAAGCGCAATTCAAGTTCACATGCATGAAATTTAATTCTCTAGCGGAAGTTGCCTTCAGTGAATTCGTTTCAATAGTGTGCTTATATACGGTTAAGAAGCTGATGTTTATCAATTCATCGTCTTGTTGTGCAAGGACGAGAATTAGCACCAGGAGCAGCTATAGGATAATTACAATCATCCTCAAAGCGGGGTACTTGCAGTAGTTTTCGATGGACTGGTGGCAAGGTTTCGCAAGTCCAGCAAAGCCATTCACGAGTGTATACCTTCGAACAAAGCTTATAGCCACACGGTGGTAGCTGCCCTAAACCCTAAACCCACTTATGCGCCTACAGATGTCCCCTAGAGGTATTCGCACACACTGTGTTCAATTCTGTGAACATAATTTCCATCAGCGACTGTGACCAATGTCGCTAGGTTTATTAGTTTACAACGATAGCGTCTAGCCGATCAGCGGTATGAAGACACCTGATGCACCGACTGGAAAGCACCGAAGACATGTTAACTAATGCCAACTCAACGTGCAGATTCAAATGATACTCTGCAGGAGGAGAGCTGGAGGCAGAGTTGGTTACATTCGCAAACCCAAGTTTGTGTTTCACAAATACTCCGAGAAGAAGCATTTCTGGAGATGTTGCTGTGATGTGCAGCATTTCAGCGAGTGGTTACATGGCTGAGAGCAAGTGCCAGGCCTCACGTGCTTTCGCTATCATGTCCAACTCCAGAGCTACCGTGAAAGCAAGGACTTCGCCGAGAACCCCAACAACACAAATTAATGAGAAAACAAATTTAGACACTCATCGCTTCTGTGAAGACCAATCGTTCTAATGCATGACAATATTCATCATGACGGCATGGACTATGATGTGGGACAGAGATTCATGGGACGTGCTTCTCGCCCTCCAATTCCTGTGACGAAGAGTTCACCCCTGCGTTGTACTGCATCGCGGAGCTCCAATTCATCCTAACTTTAACCAGTTCAAGCATAGAGTAGCATGCAAGGCTACGGGCTTGAACATGAATTGTAGTTGTGGAAAACGTTACCTCCCGAAGGCAGAGACACTACGCAAATAAATAAAAAAATTCAGAACACTGAGTACTTCTCTATATGATTTCATGCGATCAGAAATGTAGAAGCGGGAAACATGAAAAGATGACTACGCTTCCGGTTCGGAGAGAAGGCAGAAATGAATGCACAAACAAATAGCGAGGGAGGGTGGAACCCTTCATTCCATCGAAGCAGTCGCTCCAACGGATTTCAACTTTTCAATGAGTTGTTCTGCTTCCTCCTTCGGCACTCCCGATTTCAACACAACTGGTGCCTTCTCGACTAGCTCCTTTGCCTCCTTCAGCCCCAGGTCCGTGAACGTGCGAACCTCTTTGATGATCTTGATCTTGGACCCGGCGTCAAATTTCTCAAGCTTCACATCGAAGGAAGTTTTCTCCACTTTGGCCTCTGAAGTAGCCGGATCAGTGGTTTTACTACCACCCATTTGCATTTTGGCATCATCCCCATTGGCATCACCCCCATCCCCATCCCCTCCGGCAACCCTAATTTCCGCCGTAGCAAGATTGTGAGATCAGAGACCTCCAGCAGCGAGAGTTTGGAGATATCCTCAGCTAGCCTTTGCACCTTCTCAGACGGCGGGGTCCTGGCCTCAGTCTCGTCATCGGAATCGCTGGCTGCCGCACCGAAAAGTCTCAACCCCCTGTGCACCTCATTGCGCAGCAACGTTGGGCTGGCAGCAATGCGCAGAATCGATCGGAACCGTGAGGACCTGCCTGGACAAAACCACACTTGATTCATTGCAAAATGAACCCAGTACGCTGTAGCTTTCAGCACACCCTCCCCAGTCGATCATGTACATGCCGATTGCCAATTCGAGAACGTGAAAGCTCTCTTTCAGTGTGTCATCAACTCTAAAATCCCAAATGCTACAATCTCTTCGTTCTCGTATTCGCAAACCTCTCATCCAAGGTGCCACACTCTGAACCCTAAAACCCTAGTTTTACAAAATGCTCTGCAACAGCTACACCTGAATGAATCACACGCGAGACGAAGGCATTCAGAAAATTGCGAAAGAATAAGCCAACATTTTCTATTCTATTATATTTTTGAAACAAGAACATTGAAGGGCTCACAGTGTTGCTTACGCTTCTAGTGCTAGAGCAAAAGAATGCGATAAACTAATATTTGCAAAATCCTGGAGCCAGTTTCAGGCCAGAAACCGTTCTTGGTATTAACAGTCTTCAAGTATTGTGATAATTCATTACTTTCACATCTCTTTCACATCTTCATTGATAATGCTTTTACAAACAAACATTATTCGCTTTTGTTTCATTTTGTAAAATTTGGCAATTCCAAAAACGTACTTTTAATCCATTCTAGTCGACATTTCTATCATTTGTTGTCTAGTTACATACAAGAGTAGGGATTAAATTGATACTTTTATAGGCAATATAACAAGAAGATACGATTTAATAAAATTACTTTACAAAAATAAAAAAACTAACATCGGCCAAGAAGAAAATAACAATTAACAAGAAGAAAATGATAGTTAAAAATAATAATAAAAAAGAAGAAATTAACAATTAAAACGTTTTTTTTATAACCAATGCCCTTAGATAGAAACAGATTCAGTTAAATTGAAGAAACAACACCATCCATTGCTAATTTAAAAGTCAAGACAATACTAAAGAGACATTTTTTTTTGTCAAATGTTTTCAACATTAAAGCTATGCAAAAACGACAGTCCTTCACCCTCCTTCAACAAAGGAATTCACATATTATAGTTCCATGGTGGCACTTGTGTATGTCTTCCACTGGCCTCCTATTTCTCTGTAACAAAGTTCTCACCTCTTCTAATACCCCACAATATCACGATACTGCTCTGCGAAGTGGGCAGCGTATGAGTGGTGCAGAGTGAGAAAAATGGGATTAAAATAGAGTAGAATAGAATAGAATAAAGTAAAGTAGAGTAGGGTAGAATAGAGTAGAGTTGAGTAGAGTAGCAAGGTGATGACTTTTCTCATTTCTCAGCCAGGGCAGCCAGAAAGAGAGTTGCTTTGCAGGGCTGTGCTGGGCTGTGCTGGGCTGTGCTGTGAAGGGGATCTTTTTTTATTTTGCCAGTCACGTCTTTGCTTCGTTTCTGAGCTCGAGGGGTGAGCGTTGAATTCCCTTCGTTGGAACCTGCTCAGGTACTTCGATCCCATAATTCCAAAATCCAGTTCGCAACCCAGTTTTGCTTTGTGGGTGTGTTCGAAATAGCCCTGGCGGTGAAGAAGCGCTTTCGAAATGGCCAGTGAATTTGTGCGATAGTCGCAGTTAGGGGAATGAGGAGGAGGAGGAATGGTGTGGTTTTGTGGATGTGATTAGGTGGTGCATGTGGGGTTCAATTGTGTCCGGGCTTTTGCTGCTTTCTCTTGCCCTTGTTGCTGCCATTTCGTTCTCTCGGTGGCTGCAGCTGTGGGTTTACCGTTTTGCCTAGTTTTGCAGTGAGGAACCAGATTCACTGGTATGTTGCAGAATTCTGGTGTAGTGTTTTCATGTCTTTCTCCGTTACAAACCCTCTGGTTACAAATTTAGCTCTCGATATATATTTTTTCATCCCGTGGAGGTAGATTCTTATGAGGTTTCTCGCTTTCCTGTGAATTGTTTTTGGGTCCATTTAGTTGAGGATATGGTGAAATTTTAAGCCCGAAATTGTAGTTTTTTTCGTTGCGTTATTCCTCTCTCCGTGGAGTGCATTCTGGGTTCTATTCCTCTGTTCCTTGTGGTTAGACACCAATAGATTGCTTTCTACGTTCCTGATTGTATACGTTAATTCTATGAACCTATTTGTTGACTCGTCATCGGCAGCACCCAAGAGTTTGGACTAGTTTGTTGCATTGGAACTTTTTTTTGTGGTGCCATCTGTTTCAGTCTCCACCTTCTCAAATAGGCTATTGACTGGAGCGGATTATTGAATTAAATGGCCGTGATAACATGCCTTGTATGAGAGCAAATCACTTTCACCAAGGGATGTGTTAGGGACTAGGGGAAGAATTCAGTTTCCAGCTAGGTTTTTTGGGCATTCATTGTTTCAAGTTGTAGAGAAGCGTACAACTAGCTTGGTATCTAGAGAAAACCGTCATCTTTCTGATCACATGAACTGGGGTTTAGTGCTATCAAGATAAATCGGCATATCTTTCAGGGTGACTAAGCCGCGAAATATTTTGGGTGTGAAGAGCTAAGGCATAATGTATCATTGTGATTTTGTGGTTTGCAAATCTAAGTGGAAGAAGAACCAGTTCCATTGAGCACTAGCATTGGTGTCCTGCAAGTGACTTTAAAAATATATGATTATTGAAAAGCGAAAAGTTTACGGATTCGTTTTTAACTGAAATGCTTTTTATTTTATTTTATTTTTCCTTTTTTCATTATTTTGTAACACTCCAGAATGCTAATGCTTGACTAATGGTTGCAGCCCGGTGTTGTAGTCAACAGTTGATGAGTCGAACTGTCCTACTTGTTGCGAGATGCTGAAGCCCGGTGGAGACATGGTTGTTAGTTTGCACTTCAATGTGAGATCCTGTGGTTGACCTGCGTTTTTGAAGAAGGCCCGTATCATCAGCTTGCTGAATTCAAGTGAAAGCAAGTGCCTGATACGGTACCTATCCTGGTATGTTCTTCCCTTACGAACTGCTAAGTGACATGCCCTATCAAGGGAATAAATAGATGTTTGTATCATTGGAGTGCATAATATCAGTAGAAACTAGAAAATGGGAAACTTGTGGGTTTTGAAAAATTGGCGGTGCTTGTCGAATTGCTCAGTGGTACTATAAAATAGTGTGTTCTTAGAGGCATCCTAGAGGTGATATGCTTTATGCGAGTATTTGTCATGACTGGAATTTCTTTTTGAAGTGGGACTGCGGTGTTGAAAGAGTGCTAGTATTGTGTAGTTAGGATCACAATAGGAATCTGATTATTGAATAATCGGACAGTCATAGTAGCACAATGTGCAACTGCATTAGTTTCTTTCTTGATTATCCTTGATGTTTGAGATACTCATTGTGTGTACATTGGGCAATATAGTGGAGAAAGAAATCGAGCTTGCGAATTATTGAGTAAAGGATTTCAGCTATCTTGCTTCCTCTCATGATGACGAAAGATGATGACCAAGTGTCCGATTGGACGAAAGGGCTTCCTACAAGCGAAGAGCTTACACCTTTGTCACATACCTTAATATCTCGAATACTGGCAAGTGCCTTTAGAATAAAACATGAAGAACCAATGACAGAAGAAGATGTTCGGAGAGAATCTCAGGCTACCATTCACAATCTCTTCAAGCAAAAGCCCATTCCATCCTTTGATGCATTTCCAGCTTTTCAAGAACATGATGACGCTGGTAAGTTTTCGTCAAATGTTATTGGTTTTTTGATTATTATGTGAATTTCTACGTGAATGTTTAGATTGGTAAAGCTTCAAGTTCAAATTATCGGCTTTGATATGTCTGCTGTGGTTCATTGGTATTTGCTTGCAGCTTGAGATCATCTGGACACCCTTTGTATGCACATGGTTTTCCTTGTAGCATTACTGGCCGCTAATCTTGTTTTTGCAGAACTCTCTGTGGCCCGATCAGTTGCAATTTTAGATAGATCTTCAGAATGTTTAATGTCGTGATAGCTCCAAACGTAGTACTACTGGTTAATGCTGCAACATGTGATAAGAGTTCTCTGAGTTTGTAGGTGGCTATGGGTATGGAGTGGAGGGTCGCAGCAGTGGAGAGGAGTTCAGAGGTAACAGGCGAGTGGAAGAGGAGTTTCGAGAGAACCGAGGCGACGAAGAATTTAGAAAAGAGTTTAGGGGGAATCGACGGACCGAAGAGAGACGAGACGGGCGGTCCCTTGCAATCGAAGATCGCATGGATTATCGAGGTTCAGCTTTTGGATCTGAGATCCCAAAACAGACCCGCGCGAGTGGGAGCGACACCACAACTCCACCGAAGGGAAGTATGAAGAGCAATACTGGAGCTGGAGGATCTGTGGGGCAAGGCTTACAAGGCTCCGTGTCGATTACCGCGACAAACACTGGACGAGAACACTCCTCGACACCTGTGGGGAATACTAGGCCTGCAAGATATGGCCACGGAGCTGACACAGCTAATACCCACGAAAGGCCAATACAGCCCTCTTTACCTTACATAATGAACAGTCTGCCATATGGACCGTACGAGAGGGTGCCAGAGAGTTCGTATGGTGGCCCGAGAGAAGACGAAAGTAGCAGAGGAGGAGGGTCTACAGACTTCGGGCGAAAGATGGCAGATTTTGAGCTGGAGGATGCTAATTCCGCAGGAGGGCTTATGAACAGCAACGACGAGCCCCTCAAAAGGGCACGGCTTGTTTGGACTCCCCAGCTGCATAAACGATTTGTGGAAGCGGTTGGACATCTGGGGATTAAGAATGCAGTGCCTAAGACAATTATGCAGCTGATGAATGTAGAGGGCTTGACCCGGGAAAATGTGGCGTCTCATCTCCAGAAGTATCGGCTGTATCTCAAGCGTATGCAGGGCCTTTCTAATGATGGGCCATCGGCGTCAGATCACCTCTTCGCTTCGATGCCTTTGCCTCCTGGGATAATGGCTCCTGGCATGAATCCACATTTCATGGGAAGCTCTTCTAGTCAGCGTGACGATGGTGGCTCTGCTTTTGCAACCCCTATTATGCCCATGCCTTTCCAAGGGCTTGTTAGACCGGGACCCTTAGGAGGTTATGAGTACATGCCTTACGGTCCTATGGGTGGTGGTTTCATGCAACGGGCTCCAATGCCAGATCCTCGGGAGGCTGCTACAGAAAATGAGAGCCGGAGTCATGCTAGTAATAATCGAAGTAACAAATCCCAGAGCCAGAGCCAGAGTCATCAGAGCCTGCCAAGCTCGTCTTATCAGCATGCACTCCCATTGTTTCCTACAAACTGACTTTGAAGTTCACTCCTGGAAACCTTGTCACTGGCTCTCTTTATTCAGCATGGCCTTGATGGGTTCAGATGTCGAAGTAAGATTTTTCTAGACGACGTTCAAGCCCTGTCCTACCTGGCTAGTGACTGATGGTATGGTTCTCCTCTTTACAGTATGTATTGACCTCTTCTTGGTGTCTGCTGAAAAATAAATTGTATGATGTTAAGATGAACCTAGTTAATCTGTATATTTTAACTTAGATATTTACTAATAGTAATACTTTGTAGAAAACGTTGAGAGTGTATTTTGAATTTGTCGTGAAAGCAACCCTCTTTTTCTTTCTTTTTTTTTTCTTTATTTTTTTCTTTATTTTTTTCTTTATTTTTTTCTTTATTTTTTTCTTTATTTTTTTCTTTATTTTTTTTCTTTATTTTTTGCTTTATTTTTTTTTCTTTAACAGTTTTGTATGTATGGTTGACTCCAGAAGAAGCGCTAACAGTATTGTCTTTGGATATACTTTGCTGGTGTGTTCCCTTGTGCTTGAGAATGGAGTTGATAATCTAATGTCTTTTTTGTATATGTTCGCCTCTGCGGTTTTATGGTCATTTGGAGTTTGATCCAATTCTGCACACCACTTCTGGCACAGGCCGGATTGCAACATTTCGCAAAATTTTCGGTCATTTCACATCGTTTAAAAGCCATTTCGTTGGAATTGTTAATATATGTCACTAAGTCCGTTAGAGAGTGAGCATGTCTTATTTTAGAACAACAATTCAATTTGATCCAATTGGTGTGTTGCTACAATTTAAGATTATTGCATGCAAAAAAATTTAGTTTGTGTGATTAAATTGGAGTAACTGTTGAGTGAGTTGTATTCCTATTGAATATAAACTAAGTGTTCTATTGTGAACAATTGGAAGAGCAATATTCACTGAACAGAAACAAAACTATCTTAGAAACCTTTGTTAATATTATTTCAGTTGACTCTGACAACTACTTTAAGAGACTACATGAAATTAAGAGGAGAATATTAGAGTTAATTAGATTGTCAATATGATTAGAATTGGTTGCTTCTTTGTAGTACCAATTGATTAGAGTTTGGCAAAGACTAATTGCTGAAAAAAGAATGCTTGATGCTAAAAGACAAAATTCCTAAGCTACAGTTAACACCAATTTGTATAAGCAATAAGTTCTAAATTAAAAACAAAAATTGTTAATTTAAAACTAATGATTTAAATTACTCTTATTTCTAATTTCCTAATTTTATCTAAAATATACTATCAAAAAACTATAAAATTTATATATGAATCTTAAAAAATTATAATACATAAAATTTATAAAAGAAGGGCATGAAATTTACATTAAGGTTTGAGATTGGAATTTATAGTGTATGTAAACATATACATAAAATACATAAGTTTAATGTTGTTGAAGCAATCTGTTCAAGTATTTTCTCTATAATAATCATATATATATATATATATATATATATATATTTACATATACATGTATATTTTATCTTAAAGCAATCAACAAAAGCTTAAGATAAAAAATTTAATTATGAACATAGAGTGTTGTCTTTTACATTCTAAATATGAATGTGTCGGAAAAAAATTGAAAAAAAAAAAAATGAAAAAAAAAAAAAAAAAACCTACGCCATTTAATATTTTGTAAAGTAAATTCTAAAACTAGTATCAAGATTTATCAAACTAGTTAGTTAAAGGGCCTCCACCAACAAAAAAAGAATGGAAAATAAGAATCTACTTCAATTTATTATTTATTAAGTTTTATGATTTTAAAAAACATTATAGGTATTGTTGATTTTGTCTACTAAATTTTTTTACTATAAGAAATAAAATATTAAATACCTTATCAGCACTAGTTTTGTATGGCTTTGTACATAATAATAATAATAATCAAAATATAAAAGAGACTAAATTTACATATTTTTAAATTTAAATTGTAATTTTACATCAAATATTTTTATTATGTTGATCTATATCAAAACTTAATTTATATGGTCTTTATATCTAAAAACTTGTTTTAAAGGATCATGGTCTAAAAGTCTTGTAAAGATCCACTTAATAAATAAAATTAGTCCTTTAGAAGTCTTTGCATTAAGAGATAGTATGGAATTAAATGAGGCTATGAAATGGACAAAGTCGAATTTCATTATAGTTCTAATTATAATATCTTATCTCTCAAATTTGACAATTGTGTCAAGAATAAAAAATTTAACAGATACTTTTGGCAATTTCTAATACAACTTAATTTTTTTTAAAATATAACTCTTTTGGAAACAACATTGTTCATGTTATATATATATAAAAAAATACATTTTATCCCATGTTTTCTTCTCTTTGCTTTTAGGTTGATTTTCCAACTATGAAGTCAACCAAGGGAGGCTTCTTAATCTCAATCAATTACAAGCTTTGGAAGTTGTAGTCTCTTGCCTTATTTCTTAATTATAAGAGATTCTTCAAATAGATTAAATTACAAATCTTAATATGCTTCTATAAATGCTGACATCTTTTAAAGAAGTTTATATTTATATTTTAACAAAAACACTGTTTTATTGTGAACAAATCCAAAAATATCAAATAAATAAATAAATAAATAACTATGCTATTACTCTTTTTGTTTTTTGCCAATGCCAATGTCATTATAAAAAATTCAACTTCTAAATATATAGATTGAGTTGGTAAATAACATATGAAAAACATAAAGAAGATTTTGTAATAATGATAAAAATGTATTGGTTATTATTCTATGGTATAAAAATATATGAATTACTTTGATTTTTATACAATATAGAAAGATAATATATATATATATATATATATATATATATATTTGTACTTTCAATTTAATTACAGATATAATGAACAAGTGTATAAATTAAATTTTTGGTTGAATATGCTTTATGAAATTGTTACATTTAAACATTTTTTTAGCAGAACTAAGACTATGTCATATAAATCTTATTAACATGCTGATTACATCAATCTCAAAAAAGCCATTGAATATAATTCATGAAATATTTTCCTAAAATTTAGTCCATTCATATTTCATTTTGATAGAATACATATATGCATATTTATAAATATATGTCTAAATTTATATCTATTGCCTATTAAAGATAAATTCAATTTGCTCATTAATAAACTTGTGACTATATCTTAGTAGCAATGCTCAATTTAATTTGCATTACATTCTAATATTGGATTTACTCATTACTTTTAGAAATTTTTGTTGTACCTTCGTCAAATCTACAACAACATCGCTGTTTGTGGTCTTGAGAGTGGTTACCAACATTTTTGTTTAGAGCAGCAACTAAATGCCTTCCCAAATTAGTACATAAGATTATATCAAACACGTTGAATACCAAATAGACTTGTTAATTTCAATGTAGACTCAATTATGGTTTAACGTATTTTTACATTAAAAATTCCTTAACCTTGTTAATATAAGGATCACATGTGGATTTGTTCTCATGAACAGAACAGAATAAATATTCCAAATTCCCTCAACTCTAGTTGGTGAAGAGAAGAATTCTTCACATCGTTGCTGTATCAGTCAAGTCTTCATTCATTGAAGGTCCCATCCATTCTCAAATAGCTCAGCTTTGGACTGAGCTGATGGCATCCACCTTCTGAAAAGCCACCATTCAGCATTCTCCAATCTTCTGAAAAGCCTCTGAACAACAACATTTGATGCAGTAATCATCATTCAAGTATTAAGACACCTAGATAAATGACAAAAAGAGAGCGTGAACTAAGAGAGGTAAGGTTTACTTACAAAAATGAACCCAAGTACTGCTTGAGGTTTGATATCCGGCAGTCAATGAAGATATCAAGAAGAGATTCGACTACTAGAACTGCTTTCCTTGAAAATTCACTATATTTTAATGCGTTTTGGTTGTTGCTCCTTCCAGCACACTAGTGTTCGTTTCCAGTGTAATATCAGAGACTAGGCATGCCTTTTCTTCAAGTGGTAGTTTTTAATGCTGTAGCATAATGCCTTTCTGAAAAGAATGTGAATCATCATCTGTCAGAATTTAAAGCATCCCATATGTTACCATTATGCCTCGGCCACTTCATCTTAACAGCATTCAGAACTGAAGGTGGGAGAACACTTGGAGATTCCGATCGTTCCTCATGTAGAAGATCTACAATATCAGATAAAGCAGCCCTCAGCCTGTCTAAAATACTTGAGGGTCCTTCCACATGAGCGTAACCTAATGAAGAATGTTCCAGAAATCCCTTTTCAAAGTCTGATTTAGAAGTTGTTGACGTTGCTCCACTCTCACTCTTGTGAGCTGCACATTGGAAACAGATTGACAGATGAATGACGAGAAAAATACCATCTTAGAAAATTAAATATGAAAATCCACACGCCTATGTGCCAAAGATTTAAATTTCAAACTGGACAAGCAACACTATCAAGTATATCAAAACATAGAATACCGCCACAAGAACAAGTGATTCCTCAAAATCCACATTATCTCTGCGTGATATGTTGTTGAAATCAATACCTGTTTCATAAATTCAAGAATCATTATGTAATGAGCGTAATAGGTTCAGTGCACCTTACCCCGTTCAGCAGATCCTAGTCCTTCGGCGATGGGTTGAAATGTTCCTTCTCGTTTAACCTGCTTTGACCTAAATTTCCCTCTTGTAGGTTCTAATAAAACCTTCAACGACAAAAGAGCTTCACTTGTCGGCTCAATCAGTGGTACTAAAAAACTTCGTACAGAATCAGCACCTTCATGTCCTGCCGTCAAAAAGATATGTGTGCCAATCAACGCATTTACTAGCAACAGTTCCATATTTTCTTCTGATTCGTAACAGCCATCCTCCAGAGTAGCACCTTGCATGTCAGACTGTCTAGGAGAAACATTATCAACAACTTTGGTTTTCGTATCAAGCTCAAGCTGTCCCTCTCCTTGCGCTAGCATCCCCCAAAAGACCAAAGGTTTCAGCCAAGGAATTAGTAGATACTCTCCAAAGAGCTTGATATCACGGGAAGCTAATTTACAGGCCATTATAATGGCTGTATGATGCATGTTCACAACCAAACGTGCTGCCAAAGTTCCTTCCTTAAGACCACCCTCTTGCCCTGGCAGAGGAGCTAGGATCAGGGGTGGCAGTTGTGGGGATATCGCTTCATAGTATTCCTGTGTCGTGGCAACATATCTCGGAACTTTGGCCAGATGCAAAGCAATGTGCTCATATGCTTTCACATTTCCCTGAAACAGCAATGATCGCTTAGTGATCATGAATTGGATTATAATACATTCTTCCCACAGGCATCAAACTTACCTACAAGGTGAGAAATAAAAACATATGTATGTATCAATATGTACTGGAAACAAACACATCATCATAACACGCAATTTCCACAGATGTGCTCACCTCTTGTATGCCCCCAACAAGCCTCTCCATAGAAGCCGCTACCCCTCCTCTTCTCATCACGAGCTTAGATAACATCCTTCCTGCATTTTCTTTTAACCAATGAGGAGGACCAGGTTCTTTTTGCCCAAGCAGCGTTAAGAGGGCTTCGACCATGTGAGCAACAGGCAGAACTTTGACCATTTGGTTTATCCTTTCTGTCGCGAGCTTCTTCCATTCATCTTTGCCTGCGATCATGAAATCACGTTCTCACGATCAACTTATTAAACACAAATTCGTAGTATATAACAGCGATACGACCAGCCAATCCTCAATACGTGGTGTACAGCACAAGGTCATGTGAGCCAGAGTCACAAAGTTCAACTACTCCGACCGTTGGCATCAGCAATCTATGTTACAGTTTCCCTGGAGACACTATTAATCTTGTAACGAGGATCTCAACAAGAGGCATTAACGTTTCCTATTCAAATCTCCATTGATCTCATGAACAAGTCTTACAATTTAGAAAAATCTTCAACAGATAAAATATATAGACAAAGGTATTAAAGGAAAGCTCAAATTAATCATGTCTACCTGAAAGAGAGAGCTGAATAAATGCTGCACAAAGGTCAGGGAGATGGTGAAACATAACAAGCTGATGTAGAGCTGCTGCTGGAAGGTTAGTCGCCTCAGTAAGTGTTTCTCCTCCTTTCTCCGTAGGATTGCTCGGCTCGCTACATTGTCCAATTGACGTTGCATCCAAGCCAGATGGTTCTGAGTTAATCTTCTGAGGGCTGTCTAGAATGAGACCAGCCAAGAGCTCCGCAGACTGGAGAAGAGATGGTGCGTCTTTGGACATTTGAGCTCCAACAAGCCCTACAGAGGAGCCGGAACCTTCACCTGAGACATGTTCCTTCAACGCAGCTGCTGCAGAGGCTGCCGATTTTTCCCCGAAACGTTTTTCCAAGGGTATGCCCACTCCAGGACTCAAATGAGGGTATATCCCCCACCTTACCACTAGCTCCAAGATGGCCTTCACAACAGTAGTATCTGAGGAACTGAGTACCGTACTCTTGCCATTGTCTATTGATGAATAAACACTCTCCAGAAGCCGGAAGGTACATTCCAAAACTCGCTCAGTTGCTCCACTGTCTTGAGTTGCATCTGTAACCAGCAATGGTTTATGACATCATGGTAGAGTGAGTCAGAAAAGGTAGAACTCGTTCTCGACAATGTAAACATTCGTATTGAAAGACAGCGCCTATGATAGCAAAACCCTAAATTCCTGGGCAAAAAGTCCAACATCCTTCAAATTCTCGAATTGTTTTTCTGACAATCGCATAGTCGATGCAAACACAACGAGCGGTTAGAAGGAAAATTCCCCGATTAAGTTTTCGGAAATGACCCAAAACTTTCAATCTGCGCTAAACCTATTCGTCAGAAACAATTTCATACCTGGACGTTTTACTGAGGACAGCACTTTACGGGCTTCGCGTAACGCTTCTCGCACAACGGGCTCCTGCTCGCTCACCATCCCCGCAAAGCAAAACAACTCACACTTTGGAATAACATGTAACCCTAGGGTTTCACTGATTGAAGTTTACGATCCGCTTTCGTCTGAAGTTGAACATGCGCAATTCCGCGCTTCACAAGCCGCAATCACTTGAATGAGCGCGTCTACAACTGGACATATTCGGCTCATATGTCAAAACATTTTCAAAGCACCATGTCCAAATAGTGATCAAAAGCCGCTGTAGTGGTCGTAAATACGCCCTCGCAAATCGAGCCACATGTTGATTAACAAAACTCAATTTCTCTGCTTCAGAGCAATGGGCGACACCGTTCTCTTTCGGTGGCAGCGACGAGATGCAATTTTGGACAGGTTGATACTAGAACCCTGATGGTAATCAAGACCACCGTAACCACATGCAAACTTCAACAGAAGACTTGCCTGGATCCCAGTTTGACGTCAAAAAGTTTCTACGCAGCTTACCTCCAGATATTTCACCTTCAACCGAGGACTATTACTTCACACGATGGGGAATTCCCCTAGAAGAATTGAGCCCAAAGATTTGCTAAACGAGCTCGAAGTCCATTCGGAACGCGGCATGGCTGTGATGAATTAATTTCCTTCGTCGATTTGAACGCTGGATTCTTATTACGGCATGTCTCACTGCCACGTGGGTTTCCACACGAGTTGCATCGAAGCCCAGGCAAGACGTCTGTATTCTTGAGCCTTACGCATTTTGGGTGGTGAGCAAGAATCGTACTCAGGAAAGATTCGAGGAAAGAGTCGAGGGTTTAGACTTTTGCACAGTTAAACATGCTGTAGTGTGATACGCATAGCAAACAGAAAGGATACTGAACTATGAGCACCTCGGTCTTGAGTTGATGAGAAAAGTGTACTAGAACAGTCCTGCTCTTGCCGATTCCTCTTTCAATTAACGTTCTCTCGATTTCTGAGTCGGAGTAGTGATCCACAGTTTTGGTAAATGCTCATCAACCTCTTCTGTTCCCGCATCTCATTATTCACTGTCATTCTGCTGCATTGTGTCATGATTGCCATCTATTCCTTGTTTATCAGCCAATTCCACAACAATGCAACAACCCACAAATTTTTGGCATTAGATAGACACTCAATTTTTTCGCCTCCCACAGAGCAACCCCCTTTTCCCCACACCATCACCAACTTCTTCGTTGTTTGAAGCATTCTCATAATATCATTGGTCATTCCCTTCGCTAAATTAAATCCTTTGTCTCCTCTTTTCTCGTGTTTTGTTTCAGAGCAACGCAAGGTCGACACAGGTGGAATGGCAAAGGAAACGGAGAACTTGTTCGTCAAGCAAGCTGAGGTTTACAAGAGAGCGAGGCCGCATGCCCCAGAGGAGCTCTATTCATACTTGGCGTCGCTCACCCCATCTCATGAATTGGCATGGGATGTGGGCACTGGCAATGGTCAAGCTGCAGCTGTGGTATGGCGTCTCATACACCCCTTTGGTAACATCTATATCTCCATCACCCGTTACATTCGAATCCCTTTCTGTGTAGCTCTGTTAACAAAGTTCCTTGTGCCGTCCACACCCAAAGGATTAGCAGTAATACGGTACTCATGCTGATTTCTCATGCACTGCACTATGCTTTCTGTCTTCTAACAGATCTCCAAGCACTACAAGAAGGTCATAGCAACAGATGTGGCTGCTGAACAGCTTAGCCACGCTGAGCAAAGGCCCAACATCACTTACGCTGCAACTCCAACTACCCTTTCTAAAGACGACCTAACCCGTATCGTCGGTCCTGAAGGCTCAGTTGATTTGGTCCTAATCGTCGAAGCGCTGCACTGGTTCGACCTCGACAAATTCTACGACAACGTAAAGTATGTTCTTCGCAAGCCAGGGGGGTTGATCGCAGCAACTGTTTATCCGCCCATGCTCAGAGTAAACCCCCGACTAGACAAAGTCCTCAACGATTTTAACGACACCATTAAACATCACTGGGCTCCTCAAGTGGATCATGTGGTGAATTTGTACAAGAACCTTCCCTTTCCTTTTGCACCCGTAGAGCAAGCAGATGAAAGAGTCTCTCGATTTAAGATGTCTTTGGATGCCACCCTCGACGATTACCTGAATTACCTTGAGTCGTGGTCGGCAGTGCAAACTGCTATCGACAATGGGGAGGATCCTCTGAACGAGCATTGGAGGAAACTATTTGCTGAGGCATGGGGAGCTCCGGAGACAGAGCATACCGTGAAGTGGCCTTTCAAGGTCCTTCTCGGTAAAGTGTAAAGGGTTACTTACTCCATAGTCGACTGAGTTTCTTGAGAAATTTGGTGACCATTCCATGTACTTTCTGATGAGAAATGAAGAAGAAATCTACGATCTCTGATTCATAACCTTGGTGAGGTAAGTGAGGGAATACATTTGTTGTCATTCTCCATATATACAGAAAGAATGATGGCTGAACTAGCAGCCAGTGCACGTTTTGGTATACATGAGAATGATGCACTAATAATTTACTACATTAGCAACTATATAAAGAAAATCTCATTGAAGTGATTGGGATTATTCGCAATAGATCTACTTTATATAAAATCAATCTTGAATAGTACATAAGTATTAATAAAATACAACTGTATGACAACAAACGTTCACCTTTACGCTCAAAGTTATCTAGGTACCTCACAGTAACACCTTTTGTTCCACGTAAACTATTGCACATTTTATGCCAACGTTGCACACCAGCACACTAAGTATAGAAATCCATTCACAAAGTGCGATTTTCAATTCTAACCTAAAAGAATTCACGGACTTACAGAACAAAACGCTAATCAAACAATGGGTAAACAGATCACTAAAGACACAGGTCTAGATGATTTCAATTTCAATGGATGAGGAGAATAGTAACGAAGGACAGCCCACAACAAAACAATCCAAATACGATTGAGAAAGACCAGACTCAAAGAAGCAATGAAGCAGTGAGCAAACAAAACAAGGGGAGAAGCAAAGTCCAGGATGCTCAGCACCAAGGAATTGGAAGAATTAGCGAGTGATTACCGATTGTTTCGTGTGCCGTTCCTCCGAGCAACGCTCCAGTAAGTAAAGAAAGACATGCGCCTGACTCCATCTCTACGTTGCCATGCACTCTGCGAAAGCACTTGGTCCTCCTCACGCAATCCACCAACTGAGCCAAGCCAGCTGCGTAATAAACGACCACAACCAACCAGACGGAGCCCGACGAGACACAACCTGCAGCTTATGATTCGTTGATCGACCTAAACATGTCCTACGTTCAATTAATTGAACACATAGTTGTAGAAATCTAACTTCGAACGTCGCTTCTCCTTCAAATCCATGACTAGCAAGCTCCAGCTTGGTTGAATACAAAAACAACTAATGCCACTGAGCCGAAGCACACAGCTGTTGAAGACTACCCCTGAACGAAGTCTCCAAACTCTTCATCGTCATCATCAACAGATCCAGGTTGCTGTTTCCCATCTGTGATTGCAAAAGCAAGACCAATACTAGATTGCGAGTTCAGAAGGTCTGGCAAAGTTTCAGCCGAGCCACTCGTCCTATACAGGCTGGATCCAGGACAGCTCGGTTTGGGGCGAAAGTCGTCTGGTGTGGTGGTGCGAGCTCCACTACTGCTGGATTCATTCGATGGAGACAAACAATTCGGCCCGCACCGTATAGCTCCTCGTGGTAGAAGTTTCACTTGTGGACTTGGGATTTTATTGGAGGCGACGAGGTTAACAGGCTCAGCCACCTACACATTGGAATGCTGATTCAAATGGATTCCTTTATTTCTACCGCAACCATTCTCAGCATGTGATGAGTGGGAAATCTTTGAGATCAAAATTTCAAATTCAAAACATAACAATCAGATTGCTCAACGTTAAAATGAGCACCGTAATCCTTTTTACATCTGAAAACCACGAGGATTACCTGCGGGGGGATGGAAGGCGGTTCTTTGTCCGGAGAACAAAAGAGCTTCCTCTCGTATTTGTCGCGGATATATTTCTCTACTTCAAAATCTGGAGAGTCAGCATTTGGACGCTGAAATATAGGAGGAGCGTTCTCTGCAAAGTGGACGATGCGACGATTCTCAACACTCAAGTCAAATCGCATGAGGTGGAATGACTCATTCTAAATCCATATCAGCTCCAGATTGCAATACAACCACGAGATTGCAAAAGAACAACTTACGAATTTACTTGCGAGATTTCTTGCCACGGGGACGAAAGTGTAGGGTCTAAATTCAGAGCATATGATCAAGTGTAGTTCAAACTCTGCTGAAATTTCAAAAGGAGGACACTGTAGCAGCACACAACCAAAGGCTTCAGCCCAATATAGCCCAGAGGGTTCAACACACTCAGAAATTCAACTGCGATGCAAACCCTCCGCGTACCTTCCCAATACGAATTCGCGACAGTGTTCCCTATGGACCTCATTCGGTGCACTTCCTCCGAGCTCCAGCGATCCAAACCCACAGTCTTGGTACGCGTGATGTGCGTTCCCATGGACCGATGTATGCCATAGCAGCGATTGCACAGGAAGACGGCCAAGTTGATGGACGCGAAGCGCGGGTACCTCCCACCGCAATCCGCACAAGAGCCATTCCCAGGAGACTTCAGCAACATCCGCAGCTCTTGCTCCATCGCTCCTGCAAGTCGCTATTCTGCATCACGAATCCCCAACTCCAAATGTCGAAAACTGGGGCTACTCTTCAGCCCCGTGCCGCTCGGTATGAGCAACGGCACAACTTCCGAAACCGCTTTACCACGCCACCATTCTGGTTATTTGTTTTCTATTTCTTTTGCATCTTATAATATGATTTTTGGAATATTGACATTTTATTTTTAAAATATATATATATATATATATATATTAAACTTTGTTCTTTTATTTTCTTTTCTTTATCTTAAATATCAGATAAGTTTTGTTTTGTTTAAAAAGTAGATATTTGATTGGTAAATTTTTGTTTTCAGTTTCTTTGGTGCAACTACTAACCATCTTGTAGAAGTTTCAAATTGTTGCAAATAAAATTTATTTTTACATAGATTTTATTTTTATGTATTCCACAGTGTTATGTTTAGGATCAAGTTTTATTATTATTGTGAGAACTTTGAATTTTTAAGAATATATATATATATATATATATATATTACAAACTTTAATGGCTCTTTTTGGTTTTATTATAATATGATAATAACATTATTTACAGAAAGTAAAATTTTAAATCTAAAATTAATAATATTTATTCTAATAATATACACATATATAAGTTATTATTTATCAATCAAATATAATCTTTAATTATTCATTTTTTATTACAATTGGACCTCTTTGAAGTAGCTTCTATTATTTAAAAATACAAGCAATTAAATGATTTGATTTTAAACTATAGTTAACATTGAATATAAAGAAGGCACATATATATATATATATATATATATATGTATTCTTAAAATCAACTTCAAACTTTGTTTATTTATTAATAAGAAGTCTCTTTCAATTAGTTCAATTAGTTCAATTTGAGTTGATTCAATTAAATTCAGAAATATAGTTTGCCAAACAATTTCATAGTCTCCATAGAAGAGATGTTATGTTCTATTCCTTCCATAGACAAAACTAGTTTTGTATGATCCAACTAATAGCAACAAAAGATGCTTTTACATGTTTATTAGAATCAATGGTTTCTCTTCAAGACTAAAAATATATTGTTTTACAAAAAATTGGTAACACAAACATTGCATAAAATGAAATTTTGATAATACAATCTAAAAAATATATTTTTACTTATTTATAATTATTTGTATAACAAAGCAAACACTTCAACTACCAACACAGATAATTAGATCATTCTTGTATATTGATCAAAACAAAAACATCCTTTCAATACCTTCAACTACTTCTAACTTTATTGTGCACTACAAAATAAAAATAAAAAATCTTATTATGTAAAATCAATAAAATCAATAATATCACCAATTTAAAGTTCTCTAAGTTATTCAGGCATGCACTCATTGTCCATCTTTTGGACAACAAAGAGTTTTCTACCATGAAAGTGGATAAAAAGGAGTTGATCAAATGAATTGGTGTGAATCACCTTGTGCTAAGCCCAGTAGAATCAGGCAATAGAGCAGTGCACAAGAGACACATACATGAACACTCCATTTAAAGTTTCCGGGAGAATAAGCTTTAGGATTCATAAGATACTATTAGTCCTTATAAAAATACCCACTCAACATAGAAGAATTTCCGACAATGCCAACAAAGTAACTAAGAAGATTATCAGGGTCAAATGCCACAGAAACCTGTAAAAAAACTGATTAAAAGAGAGCATAAAAGATCAGGTTTTTGTGTGTTACCAAGAATCCTGAGGTAGTGCTATGTCCGCCACCTCGCAGGGGATTGCCGAAGTATACACTAATATCAATTTTGCGCATCAATATAAAACGATACAACAGTACAGTCTCACGAGCTCAGTTTGGCCCTTTTCCATTAACAGTCCTGAGAAAAACTAAGAGGCACGAGTGCAGCGACTGGAGGATGGTCTTTGGCAACCAAAGTCACTCAAGCAGGAGGAGTCATCGAAGGACCTCAAATTAATGCCGAGGTATCATTGGGTCAAAAAGCACCCATACCAAACTACAAGTTATCAATCCAGCTCAAATCCGGGCTCAGCTTTGAGGTGGTCCTTGGTAAAGATGGTTCATATTCACAACAGCTTTCTACAAGTTCATGTTGGTCAAAATACGATCTGGTAGGAAGTAGAAGAAGCGTGCGGGGGAGATGTTTGAGGACATTAATCTAAAAGAGTGATACACAAAGCTGTCCTTCGAGTTGACTACCAAGTGTACTTAGCTGCAAGAAGCACTTCTTCATACTGCTGGGCAGCATGATCCCAGCTCAAGTCCTGAGACATGCCTCGTTGCTGGATGCCCTTCCAACTACTCTTGAAATCACGGTAGGTCCAAATTGCATTCCCAAGGGCATGGATAAAAGCGTCCACATGTAGTGTTTCGAAAGTCCATCCTAGGCCTGACTCGTTGAAGGGATTGAACGACTGCACTGTATCTTTCAGGCCACCAACAGCATGCACTACTGGCACTGTGCCATACCGCATCGCATACAGTTGGTTCAAGCCACAGGGTTCAAACCGAGATGGCATCAACAAAATATCAACACCTGCGGTAATCCGATGGGAAGTGGTCACAGAAAAACCAACCCATCCCCGAACTTTGTCTCGATGAGAACCTTCAAAATGCCTCAACATGTCTTCATAATCTTTCCGGCCAGTGCCGAGCATTACCAGTTGGATATCTTGGTCCATCATCCATGGCATAGCTTGGCCTATTATGTCAATACCCTTTTGGTGATCAAGGCGACCTATGAATCCAAGCAATGGGACGTCAGCCCGCACCGGCAAGCCCAACTCCCTTTGTAAAGCAGCCTTGCATGCCGCCTTACCTGTGTCTAAAGAGTGGAGGTTATAATTGGTATATCCATCACTCTTGAGATGCACATCAAGCTCTGGGTTCCACTCTTTGTCATCAATGCCATTCACAACACCCCTTAGTTTCCAATTGTGATCCCTGAGGACTCCATCTAAACCCCAACCTCCCTCCGGTGTCTGCACTTCCCATGCATAGCCATGACTTACAGTCACAATGCGGTGAGCTGTTATGAGACCTGCCATAAAAATGTTGTTGTGCTCCCCTCCGAGCGGATCAAAAAGGCGAAATTTATCAATGTAATGACCAGGTAAACCCAATCTGTGATAATCGGCCAATGGCCCTCGGCCCTACAAGATCAATGAAACATCAGTCAAGTGAGTTCGTTCGCATTGTCTATATATATATTTATATTGATTTCCAGTATCTTCAAATCCTCAAAAGTAATGCTTCGGAATAAAAATTCAGTAAATGGTTCGGTGGAGTAAGGAAGCGTAATAGTTGACTCCAACATGAAAGCTTAGAGTATTGTTCTTTTCGACAAAATCCAGTGCTCATGAAAATATGAAAAATAAGAGAGTCCTTAATCTTAACTCTCCACTCTCAAGATAGAATGAGAACGCAGTTTACTTGTAAAAACCCAACTCAAGTTCTTGAATGTCACCAAACAAGCAAAGTAGAAAAAAACATTACCTGATGAGCCATGTTATGAATGACCAACACAGATCGAGTAAAATCCATGTAACCGTTGTCCCGATAATATGCTTGCAGGTAAACTGGGACCAATGCTGTGTGCCAATCGTTGGCGATAAATACTAAGTTTCCATCACCATAGCATACACCACCGCAAGGAACATGCCATGGGGTCTGCACAAAAATGTGTATACAGGTGTCATCCTCTTGCATAGAGATCAACTCTTGCAAAAATAAACTCTTACTGCATGAATACAAGTGAAAACAGAATAACCTCATAACAGCTTCTGGAAACAGCAAGTAATCACTCCATAAATGGTCAGAACACAACATAGCTGCTAGCCTTTTGGAAACACTAAATCACAATACTCTCAAGGATCATAAGGCGAATAGTGAATAGAGAAATCATAATTTTAACACATTTTTAGCTAAGTTGATGATTTGCAAGGTGGTCAAGAGCTTAAGCTTATACTAATATAGCCATCGACTCAGTCAGGACTGCACATAATCATTTTCGAAACTAGTAAAAATTAACAGGTTAGTAGGAATGTAGACAAGCACACAGATACATCATACACAAACTTGTTGAAAAGATAAATCTCCTACTATAAATTTCGGAAGTTGAGTTTATAGACCCACCTCGACAGCAGCTTTGGAGAGTAAAATCATCCGGGTCAGCACATCCTGCAATTTTATCAGAAGAGATTGATGACTTATTGCTGTAGGAGGATTAGAGGTAATACGTTTAAAATCAATTATGCATTTGCAGAAAGATCCTGACGAAACTAGTTTAGAAGTTGAAATAATAATCGAGTTTTGACCAATTAGCTCATCACAGGAAATATTCATCTGCTACTGCGGTTCAGTCAAGTATCCAACTCTTCATACCTCTCGAGAACCGCCATATATGTTGTTTGCAAATGCATGGAAAATAGGATTGTCGATAAAAACAAAATCAACACCATCAATGAAACTGTGGAAATACCCCACCTCCATATCCTAAACAACAACAACTAAGGGCTGAAACACTGTTTGAAATAATCGAAACGAACAGATTCACAAAATATTGTAAGAAACTCAATAGATAACTTCCATTCTAAAAACTTTCAAAATTCTCACTAGAAGTTACACTTCAAAACTCTCACCAATATCTGAAGTTGATATCAGCAACAAAGATCCAAAATGGATTCAACATAAAGATTAGGAAGTCCATCTTAGCAAAAAGCTTCGAACATGCTCTTTCGCTTTCACGACATAGCCACTAGAAAGATGATAGCAAACCTGTCCACCAACGTTGTAAATCCTGCGAACACCTGTTTCCCAAGCCTCCGCATAATTACTGTAACGAGGTGCCACAACCTGCAGAAGGGCACAACATTAGCAATCAGATAATCTCGACTAGTGCAGGATGACTAGCTTTTCACTTTGATGGCCAAGGAAACATCCAACATGCAGATGAACGCCGGAATTCTTCTTAAATTTTAAAGACACTTCAACGAAGGAAGAAAGAAAATTACCATCACACGATGACCTCGTCTGGCCAATGCCTTGGGAAGGGCTCCCACAACATCTCCCAAACCCCCTTTGCAATTGCAAGCAGTCAGGTGGGTCAATGAGTACGAGAAGAGCAAGAAACAATACACAAGGCTGCAACTCACTGTCTACGAAAGCTCTTGGCCAACGCTCAAGACACAAACTAGGCGCAGATGTCATATATGTGATATATACCACAAGTCACATATGTCATATATAACTTCTTTAGGAACAGAGCTCATCCAAAAGAAAAGAAGGAAAAGATAGATCTTTGATATGAGACCAATTAGTTTGTAGCTTTTTGACAAAGAATTTATCAATATATCTATACATATATATATATATATATATATATATATCTATATATACATGAGCAACAATGTAAGCGTTCCGTTGAAACATCTAACCCTACCTGTTTTAGACCAAGGTGCACATTCGGCAGCAACAACAATGACGTTCATCACATTAGGTCCAGCCAAAGGAGGAGGCTTTTCAGCAGCACTAGGAGCTGCAGCATCAGTCCGAGTCTGCTGTAGCACTTCTGAGTTGTTACCACCTGTGCTTTCTCGACTGTGGTCACTGTGAAAATCTCTTTTACTCTGTGCCAGAGGCGAAGGTGGAGGAGAAGTTTTAGGAGAAGTCTCAACCCTATCTGACGGTGCAGGAGAATTTGCCTGCGCAACAGCGCGGCCAGACCCTACAGACCTTTTGGAAGGAGGCGGCGAAGGCCAAGCAGCTGTCAAAGGTCTTGCTGATGACGAGGGGATAGTCGGTGTGCTTGTGAAAGTCTCAGAAGTTTCAACAGATGGCTCAGGGGTACCAGCCTGTGGCTCACTTGATGATTCGGTTACGATACTGGGTGAAGGCTGGTCTGTATCAACAGTTGGAGATGAGTACAATTTCTGTCTTTCCTCAATCTGCAGCAACGCTCAATAAATTACTTCTAATTCAGGGCAAAGACAATAACACATCAGGAGGTTCAAGCCCGATTTTCTCACTACAGGAATGCATACGGCATTTCAAGGATGTTTGATAAGCATTTCACTGGAAAACCTCGCAGTAATGCTCAATTTTTGAGCAAAGTTGACTAAAAACCAGCACAAGCAGACAAAAGTAGCCTCTGTAAACATAAGCACGATTCAGTCTTGCGGTCTGATGCAAGTGCAACGTCATACAGACATATAGTAATCTCAAATTCAGAGACTTGAAATTTCAATCGACCATATGATGTAGTACTACCAAGTTTGCCAGAACAAGATCTCCCGATGCACTTCAACATGCAATGCGCACTGGCATTTGGAATTAATCCAGCTGCATTTCGACCCGTCCATAATTGAATGAAGATTCTAGGTCAGCTTAAAGGAGTTTTCCGATTGAGACGATGTACTAGGTAAAGAATAGAAAACTAACACATTATTAATAAATTCAATGCGAAACCGGCAAAACATTTGCACGGTGATGTACATGTAATTGCGAGAAGAGCGTCGACATCATACTATCACAAATTACAATCATACGTAGAGCACGTAGTCTCTCGATCGCCGTCAAAAAGACATCAGTAGAAACCATTTCTGAACTGAAAACCCAATGAAATTCCAAATTGCCACAAAAACAGTAAGCTCAAAATATAGCTAAAGCCAAATTCTTGCAAAATTTGTGGAAACTGACCACACCAACACCCCGAGATCGCAACTTACAGAAGGAATTCGACCAGCTGACAAGAGTTGCTAATGTTTTTTTTTCCCCAAAAGTGTGAATTCACACCAATACCCAATACCCCAACACCCAATATAGCATTAGCGCCATAGAATGAAGGGCACGAGAGTAATTCCATACCTGATCGAGCAGCTGCTTCTGCATTGCCAGCAATTTCTTGCTCTCCTCAAAAATCACTGCCCTCTCCTTCCAACTAGCACTTCCACCGCTCCCACCAGCAGCCGCCCCGGGCTCGCCCCCCACCGCCATCCTAACCACCTCTCTGCGTCTGCCTCCCCCCCTCCTCCATCCCCCCACTCCACGCATCGCATCATCACATTGCAATCCCCTCACTCGGCTCCCCTCCGTTTCCTGCACCGGAAAATACGCCCACGTCGACGCCACGGAGGCAATTCGCGTCTGCACATGCGCACGGAGGGCAAGGGACGACGACGGCAGCGACGCTGCACACTCCACCATCACCATTGCCACGCTACGCTCCATGCCCCCGCTCACAATCGATCAATCCCCAACACCACCCCCCAATTACAATTCCAATCCCAACCCGACCGAATCTCCACACAGAACTATTACTACTACCCCACCCCTCCGGGATACCACAGCTACTCCCGAATCCGTGCCCGTCGGCTCCAACACCCTCAAGGGCGACGACGCTGGACTCGCATTCCCACCAGCACACACCAACTGCAGGCTGGAATGAAAAAGAAAAAAAGGGACGTGAACACGAACGAATGATGCTAGAAAAAAGAAATAAGGAAGAACTTTCTATATGCGAATGGCAACGTCGACGAAACGCACACAAACAAAACAGAACCAGAGAGAAAACTGGAGCATCCCAATCCAAAGCTATAACAGGCCTCCCTCACTCACTCACACTCACTCACTGAGTCTCTCATTCCCATATTAGAGGAGAGTAGAGGGGTGGGGTGGCCATGTGGAGTGCCAGGCCGGGGGCACCCCCCCCCCCACCACGCCCGCGATGATTCTCCACCGGTGAGAGGTACCGTCTCTGATGTGCCACCTGGCAGGTTCCTACTGGATGTGGTGTTTATCGACTGAAGATGGTAGGTACCGACTAGGATCCCTCCATCCCTCACAACACAGCAGCACCTACCTACCTACCTACCTACCTACCTACCCGATGCTTATTGGTATGTATGTATCTGTAGAACGGCAAGACAAAAGAAAATATCACCAGGACTGAAATATAGAAAAACCCACTTCTCTTGGGTGTGTGTATGTATGTATGTCAGTAATTAATTCATTATGTATATATATATATATATATACCGAAGAAATTGTTAAATTGACCCATGCATTTATTAAATCAACCCAGCCATCATCATTGGTTGCAAATCCAACCATTTTGATTCTTATATTTGATTGTTGAGAAGTCATAATAAGCTTAAAAAACATATAGTTTTATTTTATATTCTTAAATATATAAGAAAATTTTAAAATAAATTCGTTTATTTTTAAACTCAAACTTGAAAATATAATGAGATTTAAAAGAATTATTCTTAATATCATAAACAAGAGGATCAAAGAACATATTTGATTAAACTTGCTTGAAAAAGGTTGAATCAAAAATCAACTCTAATTTCATTGCTTAAAAATCAAAGTACTCTTACTTCAAGAGAATTATTTTTTGGTTGTTAGAAGTTGCATTTCTTTCTTTTGGTTTAAGATAAAAATATCTAAGAAGGGTGTTTGACAAATCTTGTTGTTTTGTTGGTCAATAAATAATCTTAAAATCAAATCTTCATAAAAATATGCCTTAACATGGTTGGTAATAATTCAAAATACTTAAGATACTTTTGATTTGTATATATGGTCATTGAATTAGAAGCACCATTTAGATGATAATGCCATTCTTGAAATAAATCCACAATTACAAGAAGCTCTTTATTGAAATTTTTTTGAAATAAAAAGCTACTAGATAGACTTTGTCATCTATTTTTATTTATGGTAATATTATATTTTAAAAAAAATTGATGCATCTCTTTTTATAAAAAATATCATAAAAATTTAATATTATATAAGATTGGTGTAGGAATAAATGTTGTCTTTAAAGCTTTATATGATACTTCACCATCTTTACTCTACTCAAGTTTGTCTTTACAAGTCAAACATGTAAGTAGAGCTACAACTTGAAAAAAAAATTTGATGAAGGTCTAGTAATAATTGGCAAATTCCAAAAAATATTACACATTTATGATTATTTTTAAGTTCTTTTAATCTATGATAGTGTGAACCTTTTTAAGATATATTATAAGGTCATTATTTGAAATGGTGTATTCTAAGAAGTTAATTTGAATAATGTGAATTACACACTTTTTTTTTATCTTAGCATATAATCTTGTATCTTTAAGTTTTTTTAATATGCAATAAACATGAAATTTATGCTTTATACATTTTTAGAATAAATTATAATATTATCTAGATAATAAATAACATAATCATTAAAAAATTCACAAAAGACATCATTCATTAGATATTAAAAAGTAACTAGTATATTTATGAGTCCAACAAGCATGACATTATATTCAAAATATAGTCTTTTATTTATCTCCTTCTTTGATATAAATTAGGTTATATGCTTCTTATAGATTTATTTTTAGATAGATCTTTGTTTGATTGAGTTGATCAAAAAGTCCTAAAATCAAAGATAAAAGATATCTATTCTAGATAGTGATCTTCTCGAATCTTTGATAATCTACATATATCTACAAAGATCCATCTTTTTTTTTTTTCACAAATAAGATAAAAGCTTTTGTTAGAGGTTTAGAATGACATATGAAGTTTTTAGCCAAATTTTTATCAATATATTCTTTGAATGTAATCAACTTGTTTTTTAATAAGTTATATAGTGGTCCAAATGGTGATTGAACTCATTATTGAAGTTTGGCAAAATAATCAAAGAATTTTTTTTTAAAAGAATATTTGTATTTTTCTTTTCAAAAACATCTTTATAATCTTAGTACTAGCTTTGAATACTACTCGAAGACTTTCTACCACTAAAAATAGATGTGGCATATATAACAAAAGATGACTCTTCTATTGCAACATGCATAAAAGCTCTTAAACCTGCTACTAAAGATTTGGTTGTATTAGATTTATGAATTTCTACTTGACTAATAAAATTTTAGATTAAACTATGGAAAAAATAAAGATTATAAGAAATCTAGTCTATTTAAGGGTTATACTTCTCTAGCCATAATAATCCTAAAATAATTGGATAAGAACTTAATAAGGTAATTAATTCGTACAAAAATGTTCTAAAAGTTTTTAAGAATAAAAAAAAATCAAACTTGAATATCAAGACTTTAAAAAGAATAAAAGTACTTATTCTAAAAGAAACTTTTGATAAGGTACAAAGAGTATCTTTGGAAAACCTTTGCCTTTGAAAATAGGTTTTTGTAAAATTATGAAATTAATATTTACAAAGATAATAATTTTTGAAGGAAAATAAGAATGATTTTTTTTCAATTCTAATAGCTCTTGTTGCTTCTCTGATCATTATGTAATTACAAAATTAAAATAAGACAATGACATATTTCAATGAGCTTGGTGTCAGGAACATGAATGTCAAAGAAAGAGAATCCTCAATATACTCTTTTGTCATTGAAAAGAAATAAAAAAATTACTCAAAAGGTAAAATAATATTAACTAGAATGGCTATTATCAAAAATAAGAAAATTAGAAAGTCTTGAAACAAGACTAAGGACTAGAATGGCATTGACAAGAGTGAAGAAGGCTTCACTCTTGCCTCTATATATACTCTTAACTAGGAGCTACGTGGTAATGTCCTATAGGACCTCCAAAACATATTGACTTTGTTAGCCACATGTCTTAACTTGCAAGGCAAGTTATCTATGTATGCGCCACATAGTTATCTTTTTCTACAAGCTACTACATGGAGTTAACTTGTCTCATATGTTATCAATACATGGTTAACTTATTGACCAAGTTTCTATCCTATAAATACATCTAAAGTCCAAAACCACGTTTATGAAGCTTTTAAGAAGCTCTTTTAGAAGATATTATGAAATATATATATATATATATATCAACTTGTAACTATTGGGATAAATATATATGTCTATGACATTATCTCTCCTTTTAAAGACAAGTTCCATAAGGAGCACTCTTCATAGGTTGAGAAAGTTCAAGATGCGACGAATTGTATTTGCCACATACTCCGATCTTTGCTATCTTCGAAGATGGTTGATAGGTTCTCTTAGCCATTGATAGTATTTCATACTAAGACGAGAAGACCACCTTATTATTTGATCATTATTGAGGCCTTCATAACTCTTTTAAATAAAACATTCGAAACACTATCAGTAATTGTTCCTACTTCTAATAAAATCAACAAACAGTGGAAGTCTCTTCTAAGATCATGATACCAAACTTGTTGTATCTTGCCATCTATTCAAGGAAGGATATGTCATTCTTGAGGATCTTCATCTTGATTTTGTTATCTTGAAGGTTGTGACAATTGTAATATGTCATCTGGTAAGTCCGCAAATGAAAGCTCTTGAGTTGAATTTGTTGGTTGTTGGTTCTCCATCTCTTTAACGTCTCAAATATACATAAGCTATAAAGAAAGATAGAAGATAGGATGTTATTTTCCTTTGATCTTGTTTCTTTTATAGCAAATATTTACTATTCTTCATCTTAATTTTGATGAATGTCATTGATAAAAGACTTTAACTTTCTTTGTTGCATTTGTAAGATTCTTTGATGGCTCCCATGTGTGTTCATTAACATCATATCCATGCTAATGAACAAGATATTCTAACCTATTTTGGTGTTGCCTTGAGTCTAAGACTTCTTCTACTTCAAACTCTTGATTATTATCCATTTCTATAGAAAGATGTGGCATTTGTTTTCTTTCCAAAATATTCAATATCTTATATGACTCAAGAGGGGACATATGAAATATATGGTGGATCTTTATAGTCTTTGGTAGATGTAATCAATAAGCAACAGGATTGATTTGTTCACAAATAAAAAAAGGCCCCAACCTATTATAGTCCAACTTATCATAAGGACAAGTAGGCTTGATATTGCGATGAAGTAACCATACCTTGTCACCTATGTTGAATTGTAGTTGCTTCTTGCAATAGGAATCCGCATTGGTCTTTTGCCATCCCTGAGTTTTTTTTAATTGTATATTCATTGTTGCATGTAGCTTTGACAAGTGATTTGCTAAACCTTCTGATTACGAATATAGAATTATATGAACTTGAAACTGGAAGATCTATGATAAAATCCATACAAACAAAAGACCATTATTGTTCTGGAATTAGTAACGATTGAAGAAGTCCATAAGGTCAATGGCAAGGAATTTTGGATCTTGAACAAGTATTACATTATTGTACAAAGTCTTTAACTGCCTTCTATATTTGAGGCCACCAAAAATCTCTTGATATTAGCTCTAAAGTCCTATTGTATCTAAAATATCCGACTACTAAAAAAATCATGACGAGCTTAAAAGACATGTAATTGTGCCTAGCTTTTTTGAATATATATGCGATCTTTGAAATATAGTATGTTGTTCTTGAACTCAAACTTTGAAGTATCATATAACTTAAAGAAAGTATTCTTGATATCATGTACAAGAGGATCAGATGACATATTTGATTGAATTTGCTTGACAAAGGTTGAATCAACAGTCAATATTGTTTTTATTGCTCGAAGATGGAAATGCTTGGGCTTCTAGAAAATCATTCTTTATTGATCAAAAGATGCATTTTCTTCTTTTGATGCAAGATAAGAACATCTAGAAGAGACATCTAATAGACCTTATTATTTTTCGGATCAATAAGTGATCTTGAAATTGAATCTAGATAAAGACTTACTCCAATGGGCTTGACAATAATTCAAAATACATGCTGGCATAA